TCTTATTGTTGTCGCACGGGGTCTGCCAGACCTTGGAAGATCTTTAACATCATTTGTAGCCCTGTGTCTGTTAAAGAGTCTTAAAATGAAGGAAGGATTGCGCCCAACTTGATGTTCAATTTGTCTGAGGGGCACTCCTGCATTTCTCATGCCAATAATTTGCCACCTTGTAGCCTCTGACAACTTACGACGTGCGATGACAATTATTGTACTGACTATTCAATATCATTTGAAAGGAGGGAGTGTGACATGTTATCAGTAAAATACACTTGATGTCAACAATGTTGGGGGTATGACATTTCACGTGCATTCAATATCTTCACAACAAATCATTCTATACAGTAAGATAAAAACTGTCAATAAATCATTCAGAATTATGTGTGATTTAGGTGTTGCTTAATTTTCATATGTATATGTTACATTTGACAACTTTTTAAATGGCATTGTGTATTCTCAGCCGTTGTGAAGTTGCCAGGAAAGCAGTTTGAAGTGAATAAATTTCGAGACAGGCGGCAATAACTGATCCCTTTTCGTCAGCTCTGAGACAAAGGCTAGACCTTTCAGCTGGACTGTATCAAGGAAGATTGAGTCCCCTGTCAATCAACACTATTAACCTGGCTCACAAATGCATTGGGGGAATCTTTTTGAAGCTGTCTATCCATTCTGTCGATTGTCATGAGTATTTAGCTATCTTTGATAATATGGCTGTTCTGTTGCTTTAGCAAATCAGCTTGTATATTTGCTCAGAAGCTCAGAAGCACATTTAGGTATCCTGAGTCAGCTACAAAAGAAACCTTTGGTCCAAGACTTTAAAGCGGTCCCAGAATATGTTGTAAAACAAATCTATTTCCGAAACCTTTTTCTTTACTTATATCGGGATCTCTGTACTTATACACTGCCAATGATCTAACTTGACGTTCCGGTCTATCGATCACCTGATTGTCTGGTTTGTTTATAGGCCCTCGTCGCACGGCAGGAATACTTCAAATTTAGACAAATGTTGTGAAGGTCGGTACAACCGGAAGGGGCATGCCGAGTACCCTATTCGCATACACCTGGTGCCACCACTGACTGGCAGTGATTCATTCATTTTCACAGCTATTTCTCCTTTCAACACTAAACAGAATGTGTTTCTGAGGACAGTCAATGATAGTCAATCCCTCAGATTGTTTGTCAACAATTACCGTTGGCTGCTGAAAGTAAAACTGTGAACTTTTACTTCGTCTTCTTATATTCATAGATTCTCTCTTAAAAACTCACCAATAAGAGGAGCAAAGGCCACGTGACACCAATTACATTCCTTGATTTGAACGTTTTCACATTATTCAAGACCTAATAACCCGAGACTTGAGAAAGAATATACAATGTAAACAGGTGTGGACTTGAACATCTTACAGATGTCGCGCCCATTCTGTAAAACCAAAATGACTCTTGTGGCCGTCATATAAAATATGAACCTGTGATCTTTCATGTGGGTGCTAAGTACTTTCATTCTCGATCAACCAGTCTCGGACAAAGTGTGCAGCCAAAGGGTCAGACTATAATGGTCAAGATAGTGCTGCCTTAAAGGCCTTGGCAACGACGTGAGAATATCAACGCCAACAGAATGGAAAGGTGTGCTGTCCGCTGACTATCTGACAAGCCTTTTGCAAATGATGAATGGCCTCATTTCTGCCATTGGGTACTTTCAGGTTGTTTTAATTTCTACACCAGAAGAGGAAGTTTTCTAGACAAGATGGTTCCAGGCACATCGGCATCATTGGCAGAAGTGTATCGACTTCGGGGAGATTAGTTCAGAACTAATTATAAACGTACATCAGCGTACAGTTAGGTTAAGGTGTTTAGCGCCCTCTATTAGTTTTAGTAGATCATGTTATTATAAGTTGTTTTTATTATCACACACATGATATATACACAGTGTATACGCAGATTGCTGGAACATATTCAGATTAAAACTTCGGCTTTGAACATTTAAATCCTTCATTCTAGCTACTGGATATATAGACATTTTGACACTGCAAATTCATCACTTCGTCGTTTATTGTTTTACTTTCTGTCTTAGTGACATATATTGCTTTATAACATATTATCTCGTAGATTTAAAAAAATATGTTCTATCAATCTATCTTCATGATGAAAGTACAACCGTTTGTTCGCCATATTTGTCTGAGGTCTGATTTGTTTTTACCTAATGGTGTGTAATGTGATTGTATGCAAGGGGTAATTGTATTTGATGGATAATGTGGTTGTATGTGATGGGTAATGTGGTTGTATTTGATGGATAATGTGGTTGTATGTGACGGGTTATGTGGTTGTATCTGATGAGTAATGTGGTTGTATCTGATGGGTAATGTGGTTGTATGTGATGGGTTATGTGGTTGTATCTGATGGGTAATGTGGGTGTATGTGATGGGTAATGTGGTTGTATGTGATGGGTAATGTGGTTGTATGTGATGAGTAATGTGGTTGTATCTGATGGGTAATGTGGTTATATGTGATGGGTAATGTGGTTTTATGCGATAGGTAATGTGGTTGTATATGATGAGTAATGTGGTTGTATATGATGGGTATTGTGGTTGTATGTGATGGGTAATTTGGTTGAATGTGATGGGTAATGTGGTATGTGATGGGTCATGTGGTTATATGTGATGGGTAATGTGGTTGTATCTGATGGGTAATGTGGTTATATGTGATGGGTAATGTGGTTGTATGTGATGGGTTATGTGGTTGTATCTGATGGGTAATGTGGGTGTATGTGATGGGTAATGTGGTTGTATGTGATGGGTAATGTGGTTGTATGTGATGAGTAATGTGGTTGTATCTGATGGGTAATGTGGTTATATGTGATGGGTAATGTGGTTTTATGCGATAGGTAATGTGGTTGTATATGATGAGTAATGTGGTTGTATATGATGGGTATTGTGGTTGTATATGATGGGGATTGTGGTTGTATATGATGGGTAAAGTGATTGTATGTGATAATGTGAATGAAGGTGCTTAGTATATAGATACAAGGTTTTATGTTATACACAGTTTCGTGTTACAGAAATCAACCTATTTTATCTTTGTAAGTCTGTATGCAGGTGGATTTACGGTTATGAAGGAAAGCTATGCTTCATCGTGTTCAGCATTGGTTGACAGTCCTCACGCTTGGATGTCAGTCACATGCAATGCAACATATGGTATATTTGGGTTTACACTTTCTCAGAAATGTACCGATTCTCGTACTTTTTATGTTGCATCCTATCCGGGATTCGAACCAACACTCCTCTCAGAGTCAGGCACATAATCGCAACACACAATCAGCGATGTTACTCAGTGTAAACTGGCAGAGTGTATTCATAGCTTCGCCAAATGGGAGCAGTGCCAATTTACACTTGTCAGAGGGGTACACAAAGTACGCGCTCTAGACTACCTGCAGTCAGAATTGTTGTGGGTTAGATCGTTAGTTTGACACTTGGTTAGGTGCCTGACCCTGAACAGTGTGGTTAGGTGCCTGACTCTGACAGTTGGTTAGGTGCCTGACCCTGACGGTTGGTTAGGTGCCTGACTCTGACGGTTGGTTAGGTGCCTGACTCTGACAGTCGGTTAGGTGCCTGACTCTGACAGTTGGTTAGGTGCCTGACTCTGACAGTTGGTTAGGTGCCTGACTCTGACAGTGTGGTTAGGTGCCTGACTCTGACAGTGTGGTTAGGTGCCTGACTCTGACAGTTGGTTAGGTGCCTGACTCTGACAGTTGGTTAGGTGCCTGACCCTGACGGTTGGTTAGGTGCCTGACTCTGACAGTTGGTTAGGTGCCTGACTCTGACAGTGTGGTTAGGTGCCTGACTCTGACAGTTGGTTAGGTGCCTGACTCTGACAGTTGGTTAGGTGCCTGACTCTGACAGTTGGTTAGGTGCCTGACTCTGACAGTTGGTTAGGTGCCTGACTCTGACAGTTGGTTAGGTGCCTGACTCTGACAGTTGGTTAGGTGCCTGACTCTGACAGTGTGGTTAGGTGCCTGACTCTGACAGTGTGGTTAGGTGCCTGACTCTGACAGTGTGGCTAGGTGCCTGACTCTGACGGTTGGTTAGGTGCCTGACTCTGACAGTGTGGTTAGGTGCCTGACTCTGACAGTGTGGTTAGGTGCCTGACTCTGACAGTGTGGTTAGGTGCCTGACTCTGACAGTTGGTTAGGTGCCTGACTCTGACAGTTGGTTAGGTGCCTGACTCTGACAGTTGGTTAGGTGCCTGACTCTGACAGTTGGTTAGTTGCCTGACTCTGACAGTGTGGTTAGGTGCCTGACTCTGACAGTGTGGTTAGGTGCCTGACTCTGACAGTTGGTTAGGTGCCTGACTCTGACAGTTGGTTAGGTGCCTGACTCTGACAGTGTGGTTAGGTGCCTGACTCTGACAGTTGGTTAGGTGCCTGACTCTGACAGTTGGTTAGGTGCCTGACTCTGACAGTTGGTTAGGTACCTGACTCTGACAGTTGGTTAGGTGCCTGACTCTGACAGTTGGTTAGTTGCCTGACTCTGACAGTGTGGTTAGGTGCCTGACTCTGACGGTTGGTTAGGTGCCTGACTCTGACGGTTGGTTAGTTGCCTGACTCTGACAGTGTGGTTAGGTGCCTGAGCATTTTATATCGACAGCCTGCAATGCTTGCTGCAGTCCGGCGGTTATACTTTTCACTGTGTTTGGTAAGTATTTCTCCAAATATGACAGGCTGATACCTCATAACCCTTAACAGTTTTTATCTTATATTCTTATGTGGAGGTGTATTTCCGACCCAGTTCCCTCTCTGTGTTGCCGTTAACACTCTCACATACATTCCCACGTCAATGAATACTTCTTCCGTTTGGTAGCAACCTGCGAAAACAAAGAAATGATGGAAATAATTACGCCATGTTATGTGAGTTTGTTGTCATGGTAACCACGGGCCTCCCAGCTACTAAGTTAAGCAAGACGTGCGACTGCTTGAATGTCTGGTAGTGAAAAGAGGTGTTGCAACCGTCATCACTATTTTCATAGTTTCCCAGCTGGTCTTGACGCCCAGTAAGCACAAACGTGAAATGAGGAACTAGCTATGTTACTCCGCCCCCTTGGTAAGAATTAAGCGGCAAGACGAGGTAAAGTTTGAGGCGACCGTTAGCTCCACAGTGTTAGCTATCAACGGGGAAGTGCGGTGAAGGAACATACCTCAGACGTAGTCGGACTAGTCCACAGTCAGGTGAGTCGTATCCCTGGTTCCCCTCATTATTCTGATGGAGATAACAAGAGCTTAACATATTTCACAACAAACGCTATGTTTATGCAGTGATGTTGGATAGACATTTAGTCAAATTTGAGTTGATACACTGTTGTATTTACTTGTCAATGTGCAAGTGGTATTTTTTTATGACAGTGATCTCCATCTGACCATGTAAAGGCTATTTGATATCACACACAAGGGATAAGGCTAGAGGCTGAGTGAAATCATTACTTCCATGGGACCATACATTGCACTGAATTCAAAATATACTCTTTGAAGAGGGATCGTGAATTATTACATCTGTTAATACCAAGAATTAGAATAAAAACATGTGTTTACCAAAGACCCTACGTGAGAACGATTAATAATTTTTGGTCATTATTTCTCTCAATCTTTATTCTGCTAATCAAACAATTGTAGTTTTCATTATTTCGTTCAATGTTTGTGTATGAACTTGCAAAGCGGTGAGTGCAACGCGGATAATTTCTAGTGGCTATCTGATTGCTGGAAACTGGCAGAGTTGCGGTGACCAATGCTATCAATGTTTCACAGAGTGTGATTAGCAGATTATGGAGCAAGGTACCCACAAACTCAACCTGTTGCCGACTGACCCGATTCTGGACCTAGTCAATGCCGTAGATGCGGTAAATGAGGGGACTGACCCTGGGCGGGGTTTTAGACAGTCCTGTATATGAGCGTCCGATGTCAACAACCACTTGTTCCGAAACAAGGCCCTACGAAATCGAGCTCCAACGGCTAAATCTATTGTTACAAACTATCATCAGACTCCTGAAGTACAAAATAAGAGTTAGACGAATTGAAATCGTCATCATGCAGCTCTTTAGCATGTTCCATTGCCACTGAGTAGTGCCGCCCCTTCTAATCTCACATTGCGATTATCTAGACGTCAATGATGTACGCAACTTCCAAACTGGGGTAATCATTGGTCATGTCTGGCGACGTCGAAATGAACGTCACGCCACTGTCAACCTGGGACCTTATGACAGATTACTCCATACTGGGGCCAAAAAACGAAGGGTTCATATCGGAGTAACATACTGACATCCTATGTTGTACCGTGTTCAGGGCATGTTGGACAACCGTTTGCCTTTCAGGACGAAAACATCCGTACTTGCCGTGCCCAATACGTCAATAACTCACCTCGAGCAGGACACCATTCATAGAGTGCCATGTCCAACAGTGAGCCGCGAAATGTCCTCCTCGAAACACTTGTCGGACATAACAGGTAGAATACCTATCGAGTGAATAAATGATTGTGGAATGGTGGCGGTATTACACCTAACTGATTTAAATTCCCCATCCTGCCCCTGCTGTCCTCCTTGGTGATCATAACTATCATATTTCGCTACTGGTTATAAAATGTTTTAAATTCATTCGTTATTACCCTACGACTGTTACTAGAAACCTTCAGTTATTTCTGAGTCGCCCAACTTGTTTCAAAGTATAGTTATTTCCTTGTTTGTTTCCATGTACTATCTTTTCCTTTACAATAGCGGCGACTGTAGGCACTTCTATTGCTACGACTGAATTAAGGAATGTCCCCATAAACAGTATTGGTTTTTCTCAGAACTATCTGCAAAAATACTTTTCATTCCAAGGTTCGTTTACATCATCCATGGTAGATACTATCATATATAATCCAAAGTAGGCTAGTTTTGTCGCCCTTGTAGAATTGTGTTGTTCGGACAGAAACGTTTGTACAGGCGATGGGACAGAATGGTAATACACTGAGTATGCCTTGAATTAGGGAAATCTATGATGGACGTTTTGTCATGAGCTCTACAATTTCCCATCGTCTTGGTGGGAGTATTGTGATTGTCAGTATATACAGTTATGCTATTTATATGATGGCACCTCTTCACACGCTATTCAAATCTTAAATATATGTATAAGGTAGAGTCTTCAAAGACGTTTTTACAGTCCACAGGAAGGAGTAGGGAGTGTATTGTTCTGTGTGGTGTTTAGACCGTTTTAATTGAGTTTAAATCCATGGTGTCAGATAGACAAACAGATAAAATCACATCAGTGGACCCGTGAAGATCCGGGTTAGAATTGATCTTGTCGTGACTAACGGGATCGGGTGGTTAGGCTCGCTGACTTGGTTTACACATGTCATCATACCCCAATTGCGTAGATAGATGCTCATGATGTTTATCACTGGATTATCAAGTCCAAACTCGATTATTTACAGACCGATTCTAGAAGAATGAGGACAATGTTTTATGGATATACAACTTTTTTCCAAAAAATGCTATCATTCTTCATCAACTCAACTTCTCGAATGCCCCTCAAAGAAACGATTCTAGAATATTGCTGAGTGTGCGTAAACAACAACCAAACCGAAATCAACGCATCGGCCTATATTCAAACGCATTATATATATCATTTTCGAATTGTTTGTTGTCTGTGATAAAGAAGTAATGAATAACAATTCTACCATAAATGGACACGTGACTTGTGATCACAGGTTGGTGTGTCTGTAGCAGCAAGACATTGTGGCAAGATATATCTACATTTTGGTATGATTTGACATATGCTGGTTATTATCGTGGTAATTACTTGGATAAAATATGACTGTTACATAAATTTAAATGCACTTTGCTGTTTTAATCATTTCCGATAGTCCTTAATTCGTAAATGAATAGGGCTAGTAACCTGATATGTAATCACGCAAACAATTTAAAAATAAATAAATCTGAAGCTGAGGCTTTTTGGGAAGAAGTGACGATATGACTACCATTTGAGTCATCATTTCTGCTGATACATGTTATTGAGGCTCGACATTCACCTAACGGATAAAGTCGTGGCAAAGTATTGCAATGTGGTTATGTCGGTCAAGTTTGTGTGGCATTGTTTCAAACTGGGTGTGGAAAATTCCGCAACTGTAAGCCACGGAGCGATTCACGTGCTTGAAACTGAAGTTCTACTGGGGCCCCCTATTCAGGTTTGACAATAATTGCATTATACATACACATTCTTCTCGACGCACACACAGTTTTGTTACCAGAATGAATTAATTTTATGATTCACCCGTAGAGTATGTATGTCAGAACAGGAAGTGGCAACATCGTTTCGGAAGTGCCTCGAGTGAGTCATAGTTACAAATCCGCACTTAAATTCTAAATTGTACTACCAAGAGGTATCTCTAATCTGGAAGTGACATGATAAAATCAGAAGTGAGAATAACTAGATAAAGTAATTAAATGGGACTTTATATTTTTCTACCCAAGAAGTATTTTCGTCAGTTCCCAAGATTATTTCGCTACGTTTGACATCTTCACCTGATCTGTTTCTGTTCTGGGCAGTTTTCCAAAATTATCTGGTACACATAAGTGCGTGCGTGCGTGTGTGCGTATGTGCGTGTGCGTGCGCGTGTATAACTGGGATGTGATGCTTCTGTTATAAGGTTAAAAAAGGCATATGTTATACAAGAAAAGTATCACAAATCCATTATTGAGATTTACGGCTATTTCGTGATAGAAGTGATGTTAGCACTGCTTGGAAATAAATCAAGGGATATAGAACACAATAACTACCAGTAATAGAACATAAAAGTTAAATTATCAATGAGAGTAAACAGCAATTTCCGATCACGAGGTACAACATGAGACCATGGAATGATGTAACTTTAAACGAATCAGAAATATTGTATCTGGACATGTGACAGGCTCGAACACCTTAAAAGGAAACTGTCAGCACTAGAAAGTGGTGCGGGTTTCAAAGTCAGCAGAATATTCCATATCTGGTAAAGAGTTTGCCCTGTCCAGTCCAAGTCACCTTGTAAAGAAGAGAGGGTTCGAGTAAACCTATGTGAGTATAGAACCTGGTGTTGAGTTATTCCTTGTATGCCAGAGTGCCAGTACATGAATGCAATGCTGTAGTTAGGAGTCCCGGTCGTCCGACCTCTCACTCCTAGACGTAGCAACCCCCGACGTAGTCTGTCTCACAGTCCCTGAACCACATTATTTTCCCTACTGCCAAGCCCTCTCTGCAGTGCTAAAGCCCTTAATAAAGCAAGTCTAGATTTCCTCAGGTTCAGGAATCTCTGGTCTCCCTGGGGCTCCTTTTCAATTTAAATGGGCTTGTTTGTTACTATCAAATTTATATATATTCAGAGACTAAGCATTAGTCTACCCCCGACGGACCAAGCGAGTGTAACTTGAGCTGACATCACCCCAGAACTATGTGGAACGGTCATCTTAATAGGTTGCTGGTAATAGGGTTTACTAACGCCAAGGCCCAGTTACGACACTTCTGATTGGACTTAATCTCGTTTGTTCAGTTTTCCAAATGCCAATGGTTGAATATAACACGATCATATCTTTGCTAAACAGCAGATATGGTGCACATCAGGTGTGTTTTGATGGTGGCATATAATTCATATTAATCCTAGAAAGTTTACCCGTGCTCATGCACTTTTACTTCATGTTTTCTAAAAGAAAGGCAGGGGATACGCCGAAATTGCAAGAGCTATTAGATTCTGTGTGATAATAATGAAAGTTCGGAACACATTAGTAATGAAGTGTGCCAGTCGTTGTTATGACAGCAATTTTGAAGGACCATTGAGGTGTGATGGGAAATGGCCGTTTTGGACCAGGTTCCTTTCGACGCCACCAGACACGACCACAAATGAATCGGGAATCATCGGAAAAACATCTTAACCCAGCTTCGACACTGTGTACTTCGTTAACGTCTATTTGCAATATGACGGTTGTAAGGGGCGGCACCACACATTGGCAATGGAGCATGCTAAAGAGATTTAGAATGTAGCAAGTACTATAAGCATGACATTTAATTAAGCACCACCTGAATCCAAATGTATTTTTCAAACGTTTGGTGTAAAAAGGCGATCACACACCAGCACACTGAAATACCCATGTAAAACCCATTCTTCACACATTATCTCAAAAATTGTGGGTCGCATGTTCATGATATCATGATTGCTGTATGTGCACTAC